AAGCAGCAACGTTTACATCCAGTTTTATCGTAACACAACATCGTCATGTATGTAACAGAGAAATACATAGTGGAACAGGTTGATTGTAAACACTGCATTGACACTTAAGATATTTAGTAGAACACATATTGTCTAGTGGAACAGACGTAGTTACTTGTTTGTTGTAAACACTAGTGTTTACAACAAACAAGTAACTACGTCTGTTCCACTAGACAATATGTGTTCTACTAAATATCTTAAGTGTCAATGCAGTGCTTACAACGAACAAGTAACTACGTCTGTTCCACTAGACACTTTAAGTGTCAATACGGATTGACACTAATAGTGTCTAGTGGAAGAGATGTAGTTACTTGTTTGTTGTAAACACTGGATTGACACTAATAGTGTCTAGTGGAAGAGATGTAGTTACTTGTTTGTTGTAAACACTGGATTGACACTAATAGTGTCTAGTGGAAGAGATGTAGTTACTTGTTTGTTGTAAACACTGTATTGACACTAATAGTGTCTAGTGGAACAGATGTAATTACTTGTTCGTTGTAATCACTGTATTGACACTAATAGTGTCTAGTGGAACAGATGTAATTACTTGTTTGTTGTAAACACTGGATTGACACTTATAGTGTCTAGTGGAACAGATGTAATTACTTGTTCGTTGTAAACACTGGATTGACACTTATAGTGTCTAGTGGAACAGACGTAATTACTTGTTTGTTGTAAACACTGGACTGACACTAATAGTGTCTAGCTGTAATGTTACTTAAAGAAATATTACGATTTTAACTTTTTTATCTTATATCTTAGGTTGAGGTTTTAAATCCATATAGCACTGTTTTACTTGTACAACAATTTTGTTATAACTAATACTAAGTCTCCGTGCATGCTCATTAGATTATTGTACATATTGCTTGTTTCTGTCAAGCGTTATTCAATGCTTTAGTTTTTTACGAAAATGTTATATTGTGACTATTTCAATCGTGTTCTCAAATGCTATCTCTTATGTATCGAGCGTTAAATTAACGTGTCATAATTTTAAAGTCGGTTTTTAACCTCTATTACATTTTATTTATTAACAGCTCGGTGGTTCGAGCTTTCGAGTGCACTTTAATAAAAAAAAAATAAAAATGAACGTTTTTATTTCCTTTCCCATACAGACGAGACTAGTTTCAGAAGGTTTATCTTCGCACAGTAATCTCTAACTTGGAACTGATAACTTAGGATGGAGGCAGCTACTAAAAAACGTCCTACGCCAACTTTTAGGCTATTCTTTACTGAATTAATAGTGGGATTTCACCGTCACTCTTACATAGTGTGGAACGCTTTTCTTTTGCGACGGGCGGCAAACCTTGAACCCTAAGGTTCAGAGCTTGAGTCTGCTAACACGTGCAGCTTTGGACTTAACAAAACACATACAAAAACAATCGCTGAATATTAACTTCATTACATCTAATTAGAATTAAAAAACAATTTTTCAAAATAACAGCAAGTCAGTTTCAAATAAAGTAGCCCCCCAGTAGCACAGCGGTATGTCTGCGGACTTACAACGCTAGAATCCGGGTTTCGATACCCGTGGTGGGCAGAGCACAGATAGCCCATTGTGTAGCTTTGTGCTTAATTACAAACAAACAATCAAATAAAAACAAACTTTCAACTAGATTTTGTTAGGCGTGAACTTACATTGTTTGTCGGTGAGTTAATATCAATAAACAATATTTCAAATAAAAACAAACTTTCAACTAGATTTTGTTAGGCGTGAACTTACGAAAATTGTTTATTAATAGTAACTCACCGAGGACACTCTGACACTGTTTTATTTGTTAGATATTTATAATAAATAAACTTTGACGACGAATTTCGCCAACTTTAGTCACTGTAATGTTTATTATTATTTTTTGAATTACTGTCTGGATAAAATATAAAGGCTTTCATGTCTCCATCACTGTTCTACTCAGTCACATCCTCGATGGCCCGGTTCTCTAAGATCTAATGCAATTAGTCGACCCTAACCCGCAAGTAAACCGTAAAACTGAGTGGCGCCGTCAGGAGCTGAAAGATATCTCATAAGTAAACAACTGCTATTAAATTGACTACGGACTTTTCTGTCGGTGTCTTAACCGGAAGTAAATCGTCACCAAAACAATATTCTGCTTTAGCAAAGTATGAACACGTGGTTACACTTCTGGCGACTTTTTTTTTTTATTATTGTTTCAGTTTATCTATATGTATATAAAACCTTATCTGCACTTTGACCTTGTTTTAGAGTTCAAATGATGTTATAGAATAAAGGCTGACGCACAAAACAAACAAACAAACAGAATGAGAGAGACGTACAGATGGGCAGACAGACGACTTCATTTGGAAAGTAAGCAAGATTGTTACTTGTCTGACGTTATTTAATTTAGTCACGATGTGTAATGATATGTTTATATTTTACAGAGTATCTCAATAATTGAGAGACGTTTTGTGACATACTGAAAAGTATTTCTGTGTGTGTGTGAAGTGTAGAACCATGAGAAGTTGAAAACACTGAAATACGATGAAGGGGGGGGGGGCTTGGGAAGGATAGAGCCCTCCCTCTTATCCACAAACTTTTCAAATTTGTGCCAAAATATATATAATATTAAGAAGCATATCTTGATAGCAAATGAGAAATACATTTATTTATTATTTTTTGTTAATCTCGGTAATCGTTATAATATACAGAAAGAAATTTACAGCTTTATTTCAGTCTTTCAACAGTGAGTACTCTTTGTTTGGCGCGCATTTTACAGCTTTGTTTCAGTTTTTCAACAGTGCGTACTCTTTGTTTGGCTCGCATTTTACAGCCTTGTTTCAGTTATTCAACAGTGAGTACTCTTTGTTTGACGCGCGTTTTACAGCTTTGTTTCAGTCTTTCAACAGTGAATACTCTTTGTTTGGCGCGCATTTTACAGCTTTGTTTCAGTCTTTCAACAGTGAGTACTCTTTGTTTGACGCGCGTTTTATAGCCTTGTTTCAGTCTTTCAACAGTGAATACTCTTTGTTTGACGCGCATTTTACAGCTTTGTTTCAGTCTTTCAACAATGAGTACTTTTTGTTTGGCGTGCAAATCCAACCTACGCGTGTAAAGTTGTTGTTTTTTCAGTGGAAAATTACTAAATAGGCTATATACACTACGTCCACCACGGAGAATCGAAACCCAGATTTTAGCGTGTAAATTTGTTTCTGCGTAAAGCTGCTCGAGAACTATCCACACTAGCCGTGCCTAATTTAGGAGTGATAGACTAGAGGAAAGTCAATAGCACCCACCGCCAACTCTTGGGTTACTCTTTACCAACGAAAACCGAAATTCATCGTCAAATTATAAGGCCCCCGCGACTGAAAGAGTGAAAATGTTCAGCAATGGGATTCGAGCCCACGACCTACAAAACCCGAATAGAATACCCTAACCGCTAGGTTTTTCCAGGACTTTTTTTTCTCCGTCCATCGCAGGTATAGAAACTCGAATTTCTGCGTTGTAAAGAATAAAGTGTAATATTGACGAAAGTAATAACTTCTTGGTTTGCACATTACTATAGCTACACAGTAGATATCCATTAATATTAATTTATTCTCAATAAATTATCTTTATTTGTTTGTTTTTTGCAATAATGGTTAATTGTTATTTAAGAGAAAAATCGTGTCGTTTTCTTGTCGAGAACAGAGAAGTCATTATAAAAATCTTAGGACTGGTTTAGTAAAACACAACTTTTATTCTGGAACTTCTAAGTCCCCAGTGGCACAGCGATTCATTTGAAGGTTTATAACGCTAAAAACTGGGTTTCGATACCAGTGGTGGGCGCAGCACAGAGAGCTCATTGTGTAGCTTTGTGCTTAACTACAGAAAAATCCCAAAAAAACGTGAAGTCATATATATCATACTATTGTGCTTAACATTTTCCATGTTATATATATGGAAAACAAAATTATTTAGCAGAGGTAAATTTATAAATAATTTTAACAGAATTAGACAAAAATGAAAAACGATATCGTATTCTATTACATTATAAGTATTTTGATCAATAGTAGAAATATGGTGTGTTTTTTTTATCAACTATAATATTTTACTTACAAAATGGCGGATTGAAAGCTAGTCCCTCTCCTTAAAACAAAAATCTGATTGCACGCCTGGCGGTGTGCGTGTGTAATGTTTTTCCTGCTGCAGGAATGGGAAATAATGTTTCAAAACTGGTGGTATTATAAAGAAGAAGTCTTGGTTGGTTACGCAATACCAGCAGACGACGTTTAATTAACCCTAATTTTGAAGTTCACCAGGGCAACTGCCTAACTGCTGAATAAGAGAATAAAGTCAAACAGCAAAATGTTCAGCCCACAGTCTAGATGGGCTAATCCAGTTGTAAATTAGTCTTTGAAAAAGTGTTGAGTAAAGATTGAAAGAAATATCCTTTGATTGTCTCATACAACATGTTTGATCGATATCGTCGTGTAGTTAAGGCTTGACGAAAGCATGTTACATATTGATTATTCTGTTTGCTTTGCCCATAATCAACATTTTATGTGTAGTATTCTAATACTGAAAAATACAACACACGAACACAAATAATACTTTTTTCTTGCACTCTTCCTTAAAAACTAGACTTATAACCAGTGCTGTATATCACATAGATTATGTTAAGTTCTTTAGTTTTCGTTAAGAATGAAATAATACTTTTCTCTTGCAATCTTCCTTGAAAACTAGACTTATAACCAGTGCTGTATATCACATAGATTATGTTATGTTATTTAGTTTTCGTTAAGAATGAAATAATACTTTTCTCTTGCAATACTCCTTGAAAACTAGACTTATAACCAGTGCTGTATATCACAGATTATGTTATGTTATTTAGTTTTCGTTAAGAATGAAATAATACTTTTCTCTTGCAATACTCCTTGAAAACTAGACTTATAACCAGTATTTTATGTTCACATAGATTATGTTATGTTCTTTAGTTTTCGTTAAGAATGAAAACATTGTCCTCTTCGAATTACAATATGACTAGTTTTATTAATCACATGAATACATTCCAAAAAACAGAAACTTACACACTTCATTTCTACTGGGGATGAACGTTAACTACATCATATAGATATAATATAAATATGCATATATATATACTTAAAAAGTCCAAAAAATGCAATAACAAAAAATAATTTTTTTAAACAGGTCAATGTTGTGGAAATCACAAAGCTTTCAAAATTGGTAATCCGGTCTACAGGTTAAGTTGGTTATTTCTAAAATATCTATCGTAAACATTTAATGAAGTTATTTTAATCAGAAAATCGTTCGACTATCGTTAAACTTTTGAATTTCTATTCTATGAGCCGCTTCTGGTGTTAAGTAACTTAATATGGTCTAGAGCTGGGAGTTCCCAAAATGAGGGCCTATTGAAAATGTGGGGGAGTAACAAATACACACAACTCTTAAGAGAGTTAAGGTACTCAGTTTCTATAGATTCATTTTGAGGAGGTGGGACCTCTATGAGGAGGCGGAAGGTTTTGGAGACCCTTGTGTTGAGAAAATTTGGAAACCCTTAGTCTAGTAAGATTTACGGTTTCAGCTAGAAGTTCAATTTAACCACAACTCTGAAATACAGAAATTTTGAAACCACAATAATGGACATCATGCATTGTTGTCAGCGTCACTCACGACTTGAGACGAGATGGGAAAGAAAAGTTCACTCATTGTGGTTGATTGTTAAAAGAAAATCCTTCATCACGAACATCTTGATTTAGAATTTTGTTCGCGTATTGTGCTTGGCGATTACGCACAGTTTAGAAAATGTCGTTGTATGTCGTTCCTTCAAAGCAATCACTATATAAACCACGAGGAGTTTATAAAGAAAGATTATTGGTGACTTGTTTTAATGAATCCGTGTATTTTACATAACAAGGCCTATAAACATTATAAGAAGAATATCTTGCCAGCAAAGGACAGTAGAACCCTAATATTGTTCCCATGATAGCCATCATATAAGCCCAGCCAAGTCGACAGCTAGAAGGGTTGAATACGTCAGAGCGCGGTCCACAGTGTAAACGTACGAAGTGATTGGTCAGGATCAATGGGTATAGAAGCAGTGCCATTGTCTGGAACAAAACTGAAAATAGAAATAATCTATGATATTACGATAATGATAAAAAAGGTTTAATTTAGGATAATGATACTTCAAAACATTTGAGGTGCTTAAAATGTAGTTTATATTTACATCACATTTGCTGCTTGCATAACATAATATTGTAGATAAAACAAAGTACTATGGAACTATGTAATTATAATATAAAAAAACAACAACATTACACTGATAATCACGTAAATTTATGAAATGTGCAAATTTACTTTGCTAACAATATAATATACACGTCCTAATGTTTTAGGGCACTGTGTAATTTTTATTGTGACAGCACATTTTATCAGCTCTTATTGCTGTGGTCTCTGATGTAGACATGGTTAATAGCACATACTGAGCGTAATTCAGAAGTTTCTTTATTATGTGATAATGTTTTAATCTTAATACCAATGACGCTCTTTCTAAAGCAGTGATTCATAAAGCGTGGTCCATGAGGGTCCTCCAGTTGGTTCAAATACAAGTCATATCACTCAAAGCGTGGTACATGAAGGTCATCCGGGTGGTTCAAATACAAGTCATGTCACTCAAAGCGTGGTCCATGAGTGTCCTCCAGGTGGTTTAAATACAAGTCATATCAGAAGCACTGCCATGTTTCCCGTTAATTCTGGTGAGTTTTTTGCAGTGTTAAGCGAAAGCGGGTGAGGTAGAACCGGTTCGCAGACGAAAATGTTTGAGAACCACTATCTTAAAGTATCAATAAAAGAAAATTTAAGAGTCGAGAAATTCTTTTTTATCGAGGCTCGGCACGGCCAGATGGTTAGGGGACACGTGCGGGTCACTGGTTCGAATCTCCGTCCCACCAAACATGCTCGCCTTTTCAGGCGTGGGGGCGTTATAAAGTGACGGTCAATCCCACTATTCGTTAGTTAAAAAGTAGTCCAAGAGTAGGCTGTGGGCGATGATGACTAGCTGCATTTCCTCTAGTATTTCACTGCTAAATTAGGGACGGCTAGCGCAGATAGCCCTCGTGTAGCTTTGCGCGAAATACATAACAAACAAACAAACAAATCCTTCTTAACTAATGTTGTTCTCCAACCTGATCGAATCAATGCGGAGTATATCATAATTGCTGTTGCTGGCAATTTCCAAATGATACTTTATGAACACATCTTTATATTTTAATTGAACTTCATACACGTAAGAAAAATGACGATAAAATGTTTGTTGTCTTATTCAGATATTCTCGTTCATTTCCATTTTTGGGGGGAGAGAAATGTTCATTATTTTAGTCTTTCTTATAAATCAAAAATACACTGGCTAAGATATTATAAAATAACTAGTGGTGGTACTCGTACACTGTATTAAATATCATTTCATGTACTGGTGTACTGTATCAAATATCATATCACGTACTGGTATACTGTATCAAATATCATTTCACGTACTGGTATACTGTATCAAATATCATTTCACGTACTGGTATACTGTATCAAATATCATTTCACGTACTAGTATACTGTATCAAATATCATTTCACGTACTGGTGTACTGTATCAAATATCATTTCACGTACTGGTGTACTGTATCAAATATCATTTCATGTACTGG